ACTCCAGCCTGGGTAACAAGAGCGAAACTCCGTCCCAAAAAAAAAAAAAAAAAAAAAAAAAAAAGGTCAAAATCATCCATAAACTTTCCAAAAAATGATTTTTCATGCTCTTTGGTGTAGTTCCTTCCAATCTCATCCCCCAATGTATGTGTCTGTGACTATAGCGTATCTTGCAATTTTATATCCTGCTTTTTAGAATTTGCTCAGATTGAAAAGTGTGAAGGAAACCAAGGGAGGCATCTAACACAAGTTTTTATTACTTGAAACTTATGCTGCATCAGGTGTGGTGGCTCACGCTTGTAATCCCAGCACTTTGGAAGGATGATCGCTTGAGCTCAGGAGTTTCAGAACAGCCTGAGAGAGTGAGATCTAGTCTCCACAAAAAACTAAAAAATTAGCCTTGTGTGGTGGTTTATGCCTGTAATCTCACCTACTCAGGAGGCTACAGTAGGAGGATGGCTGCAGCCCAGGAAATCAAGATTGCAGTCTGAGTGACAGCAACAACCTGTCTCAAAAAATAAAACAATAAAAAATAAAATTTATGCTGCAATAAAAAGTGTGACATCATTTAACAGTTCTCCTATTACTGGACATTTATGTTGTTCCCAATTTTTAATTTCCTTAAACCATACCGAAAAACATATTTGTACACTCTATTTCCTTGAAAATTAATAAATAAAAACCATTAAATCAAAGGAAATGACAAATTTAGAATTCTTCAATCATACTGCAATTTACCCAAAAGGTTGCACAAATTTATATCCCAATCATTGAAATCTAAACTCTACTCTTGGTTATCTTGCCAATAGTTGTTTTTTTTAAAACTTCAAAGTAAAAAGCAGAATGCTTATTTGATAGGTGCAAAATGGTCACAGGTTTAGCATTTGAATGAAAATTGTTTAAAGACCCAAGTTAATCCAAAACTTTGGGAAAAAGAACCAGAATCCTGGCTCCTTTTTTAAAGTTCTGCAACTCCTTTTAGAGATTAGTGAATAATTCTATGCTACTTTGTAAACTAACAAGCTTATTTGTTCAATAAACAAATATATCCAAATACATTACGCTTCTACTACATGCAGATATTAGGGATACAGTAGCTTTTTTTTTTTTTTTTGCTTTTGAGAAGGATCTCACTCTTGTCACCCATGCTGGAGTGCAGTGCCGTTATCTTGGCTTACTGCACTCTGTCTCCGGGGTTCAAGCAATTCTTCTGCCTCAGCCTCCCAAGTAGCTGTGACTACAGGTGCATGCCACCCACCCGGCTTTTTGGTATTTTTTAGTAGAGATGGGGTTTCACCACGTTTGCCAGCTGGTCTCAAACTCCTGACCTCAAGTGATCTGCCTGCCTTGGCCTCCCAAAGTGCTGGGATTACAGGCATGAACAACTGAGCCCATTCCCCTGTCATCTTAAACATGTTCTTGACTCACTATTTTTCCCCTATAGTCCAAGCTATATATATGGCCAGTACATTTATTAACATTTAAGAAACTGACATAGTTTCACTTTTAATGTGTAACATGTTTACATGGTTAAAAATTCAAAGGTAATTTTTATTAATATTAATACTGACAAACATATAAGGTATCTAAATGAAGATGTCAAGCTGATAAAAATATAAAACTAGAGTTCAACAGGCCAGCGTTAGATCTATAAATGTGAGTTAGTGGCATACACATTGTTTTCAAAGATTTCTTAAAGAGGTTAGAGAAAACAGCCTAGATTCCAGTTCTAGAACACTCCACTACATTTGGGAAGTCAAGCAAAGAAGAATGAGAAGGACCAGCTAGAGATGCAAGAGAAAAACTAAGAGGTGTTAACTAAGAAGCACAAGTGTTTTCCCAATGAGCATTAAGTAGCCAACTGTATTGAAAACTGCTGAGGATAAGATGATTGAGAAATGACTATGTAATCTGGCAATACAGAGAACAATTGGTACCTTTAACAAAAGTAGTTTGGTGGAAGTAGTAGGGGCAGAAGCCTTACGGGAATATGTACAGAATTACAGTAGAAGTAGGAAAGAAAAGACAAACTACAGATCCTTTTTTCAGTAGGTTTAGCTTTCAAATTAGAACAAAAGGATCAAGTGCAGTCAAGACAGTTGTTACACAGAATACATACGTATTCTGATGTTGGAGAGAAATATTGGTGAATAAATCAAATTGTGATAGTAGGGTAAAAAGCTTAGTAATTTAGTGCCTTTATTCTAATTCATTACACAAGAATCTATGCTTAACAACTTCTGGAATCCCTCCCTATTTTGTTTATCAGAAAATCGCCAACTCTACTATCACCTTTTTGGAGCAGAAGAGTCATGTACCATATAATATTTTGGTCAACAACAGAGTGCATATACAGTAAGTCTGTAAGAGTATACTACCATATTTTTACTACGTTTCTATATTTGGATATATTTACATACACAAATACTTGCCATTGTGTTAAAATTGTATTGTATTCAGTACAGTAACATGGTGTACAAGTTTGTATTTTCTATGATGCCCACAAGAAATAACACAAAATGCATTTCTGAGAGCTGTCATTAAGCAACACATGACTGCACATCATCAGCTTTTCAATTTTCCTTTCTTTGTAATGGGTCATACCATATGTACTATTTTTACACTAAAAATGAGAAGATAGCATGGAAGAAAAATAAACAGTTTTAACAGCCATTTTAACTAAAGTGGACTTTTGGCATGTTTCCATCATTTGCTGAGTATCTTTAAACAGCATGATACCTTAGTAAATTCAAGGAAAAAATATCTGAGGGTAACAGCAAATCCAAATGCAGTTAGGAAGATCATGGACAATCTGCTTGAGATTTCAAGAATTTTGAATACTTAAGATAGGGACATTTTGTCTATTGGGATACAGTTTTATAAAAAAGGAATTAACTCAGCTTTATCATCAGTTATTAGAAAGCTGTGCAAGGAATTAGTTTTATCCATAGCTTTATCAGTGGAGAGTAGCTTACAGAAAGAACTATCAGGAATAGTTTTATCCATAGCTTTATCAGTGGGGAGTGGCTTACAGAACTATCAGATGTGTTTATATAATTTTAACAGCCCTAATGCTTTGGCATTGCTGTTATTTATGCACACTATTTACAGCTTTGATAGCTTTAATTTTCTATATAGTCTATCATGTGTCTATCTGACAAACGATGTTATATGCCTTGTTGACATTTTCATTATAAATTTCAATAATTTTGAATTATTTATGCATAACTATGAAATTTGTTACACTGGGCTGACAGTTGATAAGATTTTGGCTACCATTTGTAAATTTTCATTTAGATTAATTAGGCATCTCAGAATCTTAAAAGAACAGTGGAAACATTTCCTGTAATCTGCTGTTTAAGTTTTTAAAAGGTTGCCAGGCAGTTAACAGTGTGAACCAGATCATTTTTATAGATTGATGAAGCATGTTTTCCGAGACCTAAAAAATAATGTATAAAATGAAATAGCGAATATGCAAAATTCCAGTTGACTTTTATTATATGAAAGTAATTTAAATGTGTACCTAATAAATTTTGAGTGGTTATCTGATAAATCATTAGACAGGTGGTATGTTTCAAGGTATTTAATGCTTTATGAAGAAATAATTATTTCTGGTCATTAAAACCTAATTATATGTTCTATATCAAGAATTATGGCTTTCTAAAATTATTTTAACTCTTAAAGCTTTAACTCATTGATGACTCAGAAACAAATTTTAGAAAACTTAGTATCTGTTCCTGTAACAATCTCAATGTGTTTTTTTGCAAGACTAAAATATATTTGATTTGTTCCTTAAATTTCAGATTTTGTTAGATGCTATTTAAATAATTGTACAACATTCACTCCTTAGCAGCATTTTGTTTTTCAGAAAAGCTAAAGTGGTTTTAATAAGACTGATATTTATATTACTTTTTAGAATTTTTTTTTTTTTTTTTTTTTTGGAGACAGAGTCCTGCTCTTGTTGCCCAGGCTTAAGTGCAGTGGCATGATCTCAGCTCACTGCAACCTCTGCCCCCCAGGTTCAAGCTATCTCCTGTCTGGGCCTCCTGAGTAGCAGAGATTACAGGAACCTGCCACCACACTCATCTGATTCTTGTACTTTTAGTAGAGATAGGGGTTTCACCATGTTGGCCAGGCTGGTCTCGAACTCCTGACCTCAGGTGATCTGCCTGCCTCAGCCTCCAAAAATGCTGGGATTACAGGCATGAGCCACCACACCCAGTCACTTTTTATTATTCTTTTAATCATTTTGATTTTTTAAACATGTGGCATCTTTACCAACTACACTATAAGGGTTACTATTGATAGTGCAGGTTGGGCTACAGTAAGGACTTAGGATAAGTGATTTCATTAATAATCACTACAAATGCTGCATGTTTTAATTATATAAACAGAGAACACCTTCTGCCAAACACCAAAATTTGTATATACCACTGGGCCATGAAAGTTGATCGTTTTATTTATGACTATTTACATTGTTATTTATGTATGAAACAAAGCAGGAAAATACACTGAGAATTATGTTTACAGAGGACTTCTTTAATGCATCACATTTCTTAAACATAAACATACTTTTATTATACTTAGTATTTTAAAAACCAAACAATTATACAATTGCAGGTTTGTACATGTTGTCAACTGCAAAAAACCATTCCAGTGGCTTAAAAAAAAACACAAACCACACAACCTTAAGTGTGGTACAAAACTCTTATAATGGAGTTACTGTATCTTTATTATCATATAATCTCACATTACAGCTCCCAATGAAAAAGATGACCTTATTTAACATACTATAACCTGGAAGGACGAAAAGGGACAAGCATAAAGAAATAACTCTTGGATCTGTTATTTAACACAGAATTCAATTAAAGAAATGAGTTATTCATGCTATTCTTCCTTTAGTATTGATGTAAAGTTCCTTTTTTTTCTTTTTTTAAATTTCATTTTTTTTTGATGCAAAGTTCTTATCCAATGGGTTATCTTAGAGTGGTATTTCCATCAATTGAGTCTACCTATCGTCCTGATTTTTCTGGGCATTTAAGTGTTGAATATCTTCTAAAAACCAGAATCAAGGAATGAAGTGACCTTTGTTCCCAGTTTCGGGGGCTAATTCTATAAACAGATGTACACCCATTTCAAGTACGGAAGAGTTTAGATGCTATGAGTGGCAATCATGAGAAGCACAGGAACCAACATTAGCTGACCCTAGATGCTTGGAGCTGTGATTCTAAAATGGAACATGGGATGAGACCACATGATATAAAACATTCCCTATTTTCATACACTCACTTTATACTGTGAAATCTTTGCAAGCTACAGAACATATAGCACCACAATTTTATTAGATGGGTTAAAGACTGAGAAACAACTGGGTGAGAAACAGTCTCTGGCATAATTCAACTATTAAGGCAGTAAGGACACAGTTTTCAGAGGTCTTTTTTCCCTGACCCATTCATATTCTTTTTGTGTGATTGCATGGCTTCTACCCACGTATCAGCATGCCTATCTTTACTGTTTTCACAATATTAAGATCATACTGTCACATCTTTTTGTACTTACTCTATCTAGAGCATTTTCCAATATTACTACTCTACATTTTGAATGGGTGCACAGATCTAAATTTATCTAATCTGTAGCTATTACTCAACATTTGTTTTTGAGGCTATGTTATTATAAAACTCCAAAAGAACCATTGTATAACTTATTGTATAACTAATGACTTAAAAAATACTTAAAAGACTATTTGCATAGTAACCTATAAGGAATTTGGAAGATATTTTTGTTCTGAAATAACGAGACTTTGCTAAGTAGAAAACCTAAGTGGAAGATAATAGGTAACAAATTCACACATCCTAAACATGGGAACCCCCGGGGCTGTCAAACAGGTAAGGTCACAGAATAAGCCTAACATCTTCCAAAGTACCAATTTTACTCAAGATACGAATGGGAACACTACACACTTGAGGAAGATTGTTTTGCACTATAGTGCCAAACCCCTTGGGATTTCTTCCTCTATGTACTTTATGGAAAAGTCTGAGAAGCAGAGCCATAACTGAACATAAGGCATATTCAATTAAGGTACCTAATTAATGTTTACTATGGCTTGGTTTTAAGATAGTAAAATATGACTATATATCATAAAAATGTCAATAGAGCTGTCAGTGGAATCTATTCTAGCAAGTTTTTAATGCTTAAAATGTTGATTTCAATTACTATTGAAAGCAATGTCATTATTACTTGAACAACGAGAATTACTTGATAGCATGGATCATTTTAAGGTGCAGCATTTCATATCTGGTTCGACAATAAAATTGTATTGCTTATTAAAAAAGCAACAATATTATCTTTCACCCTATGTATGGTTTAAGAGCTAATAATGTGTTATTGGCTACACTTTAAAGATTTCATCCATTCAAAACTGAGTACTTTCATACAAGGTACCATCAGAAGCTTTCACAGTATCATCAGACACCTATGATTTACAGTGAAATTAATTTTTTTTTAAAAATTTTAAAGTAGATTTCCTCATTAGATACTAAAATACACACAGGCAGTAAAATAAACCTAATCAGCATAACACCTGATGGGAAGTGAATGAATTAGCTTTGACCACTGGTGACTGGAAGAATGACCTAACAGTATACATTTAATGACATTAAAAATGACATTTAAATATATGGGATGATAGAAAATTAAACTGTTCATAATGAGCTCTCCAGTGTGCTTTTCCCTGACAACTTATTTCTAGTATTCAGTCATGGAATGGACGATCTTTCTACGAACTTGGCGGGGAGGAGGAAATGTGATAAACAGGTTCCTCCTTTAAACTTACCTTTATAGAATCAAAGCAAACACAAAATCTGTTTCTGATTTCTATTACAGAAATTTTCTTCACAAAATGAAAGCATCATCAAAATAAAGGGAGAAATGACATGAAAGCAAATAAATGTCACATACATTTGGTAATGTATTTATCTGTATTTTATCCTTAACACTTGGCAATTATTTTAATAAAAATCACTTAGTATACAACTTTCTTGGATCATCTTGTATCATTTAGAGGTATAGAAATCTTTTGGAGCTGAAACCGCAAAGGACTTAAAAGTATATCAATTCTTGGGAAATCCTTTCAGATAGGAAATATATGATGGTAGTGAGAATAAAATGGACTATGAAAATGGAAACTCCATTTTGGAAAGGCATAGTAACACCTCGGTGTTAAATATGCTGTCTTTACAAATGACATAAAAAAAGCAGAATGAACCCTTCCTAAACCTTGTTCCTTACTAAACTTTTGATGTCTTTGTAACAGACAGATATGTGTGTTAATACAAGTGACACAAGACGACAATACACTTCTAAGCTCCCTCAATATTTTAACATCTATGTGCCAGGCAGTAAATCCTTAGGGAACACTTGTTCACATTAGCTCATTTATCCTCACAGGTGTTAATTTAAGCCAATGCACTTAATGAAGCATGGCAAAAGCAACTGTTTAAAATAACAAGATGTTATTTTCAGGGCATGTAAGTTTATTACACCATTAATAAAAATTAGGGTCTGTAGATGTTGAAGAGATAAATGAGACTAATGGGTAAAATTTTTTTGCAGAGAAGGTGAAGACAAGCTTTTTGTTGTTATTTAAATACTAAGTAGTGACATCAAACTAACCTTATAAAATATATACACTCTCTCTCCGCTTTAAAGCACCCCTTGGGTGTAATGAGATAACTAAAGCACTGAGAAAAGAGATCTTTAAAAAAAGGACTATAGGACAGCTACCTACTTTTGATATGATTCTCTACTAGTAAACATTTCCCAGCCATGCTCTGTTTTCAAAGCTCAAGTCATACCCCCGAACTTTGATAAAGCACCCCTTGGGTGTAATGAGATAACTAAAGCACTGAGAAAAGAGATCTTTAAAAAAAGGACTACAGGACAGCTACCTACTTTTGATATGATTCTCTACTAGTAAACATTTCCCAGTCATGCTCTGTTTTCAAAGCTCAAGTCATACCCCCCGAACTTTGATTTCTTCCCCTCAAAATACTTCAAACACCTGATGAACACTCAGAGAAAAATGTTTATATAATGTATTCATAGATAACTGCAAAGTATGAACTTAAAGTTCTAAGAAAGATGCAATGCCCAGTACTTACTGATTAAATGTTGATGAAGACAGGGCAATAGCATTTTGGCTCCACCATTAGCTCAACTGCAATCAATAAAGAGATTCACGCAGAATATGCGGGTGCTAAATCAGTCCCAAAAAGCATATTTGGGGTGAGCCTATCAACTAAAATAGCAAGAAAAAAAATTAGCTTGTTTGGTGGCATACAGAAGCACCTAGTATTGGGAGTTAAAATGAGACAAAAATCACCACAAATCATGAAATATATTTTTCACACCTATAACATAATGGTTTTTTCCAGACAGAATGAGGCTGGCTTTTGTGCTTTGTGTACGGAAGAAAAAAGCTATTCCCACACCAAATTGGATTCTCTCAGCAAGACAACTTTTGTATGTTAAGAAATATAGTTTTAACCTTTTTTCTCTAAATCCTGACAAGATTTGTAAATCCTAACCAAATACATGAAATCTTGTCTCCACTACAACATAAGAGCAAAAAGATTTTGTTGTATCGTCATTCTTTAAATGTAAAAAGTGATAGTAAATTATCTAATTTGTTAAAATACAATAATCCTCAGAAAGTTACTTGAAATACAAATTTAAAACCAGCCTTAAAAAATTTGAAGTAATGAAAAAATATGAACACCCTTAAGAAATACCAGTAAGACAGCCTGTAAAACAAACAAAAAAGCAACAACAAAAAAAGAAAACCCTTAACTGAAAAAGAAAAACGGATTTCGTAAAACTTTCAACATAGGGGAGGAATATTTTCGTATTTGGACTGGAGCTTAAAAGCTACAAATGGTTTTAAAATATTCCAAATGGCACAACTTTAAGCTCAAGACATGTAATATTAAATAATTCTACAAAATATGTATTTTGTAGGACGTCCCAACAAGTAGCCTCGCCTGTCAGAAAGCAGGCACACAAAAATCGAATCTATATACATTAAAAAGAGGTACACAAAAATGAATCGAGTTGCGAAAAAAGCTACTACGCAAATTCAATGAGAAAGGGAGGAGTCCTGACTCATACTGTACACGATTATCCTTTTTCTTATCTACGCCGAATATTTTTATATAAAAGCATATGCTCTATCATTCAACTGCACAGAAAGGCACTTGGCCACTTCCTCTCTCAAATCTACTCTGGAGATTGTGGTAAAACACTTTACGTACCTCCCTGAGAAATTCTCAAAGCGAAGTCCATTTTAGAGGACAAAGTGGATTTAACAATTTTAAGAACTTTCTGGGATATCGGCACAATAAGCCAATTACTCTTTAGAGACGCATTTTCCGCGCTCCACCAGGACTCTGTCCCCTCACCCCAGCCCACATCCCTTCTTTAAATAAGAGACTCAGACTGACAGAGGCGGTTCGGCCAGCAATCCCGATTCTCTCTGCCTGGGCCGTGAATCGCCGAGCAAGGCTGAATCCCCGCAAAATTACAGAAGAATCTAAAGCGCCAACAAGGTAAAAGAACAAGAAAAAAGCAAAGCGGGGGAAGTTGGGTCGAGACCCGCCCCCACTCTCTCAACCCCACCCAAGCCTACCTCTCCTACGCTGCACCACACAACAAAACCGAAAAACGTAATAAAAATAAAAATTAAAAAAGGAACACCACGAGAAAGCAAATAGGGCTTCCTTACTGTCCCCACTCCCTGTGGCCTAGTTCTCTACCCAACCTCCCGGCCCACCCCACCCCCCCAGGGGTCCCGGCGCCATTTAGCTCCTCCGAAGCCGCCGCCATTTTCCGCCCCCGTCGGATTGCTGCTGTGCCTCTGCGGCTGCTCGCTTCCCTACTCTGCAGCCTGAGCCACGGGCGCCGTCCGGCCCTGAGAGGGAGGCACTGGCCGGAACGTGCGGGGACGGCAGCTGCAACGTCAGGAAGGCCAGGCTCCGACCCCGCCCGCGGTGCCAGGGCGCCGGCAGCCTGCGCCAGCCGGCGGGAGCTAGCGGGCAGAAAAGGGGCCGGACAGGCTCCACTGGGCGGAGCGGCCCTGGCGGCGGTTGGGACCTGAAGGTTCCATCGCACTTACTTCCTGTTTTGGGTCCGGGCACTTTGGAAGAACCAGGATGGAGGCTCCAAAAAATACCAGGATGGAGGAAGCAGCCACGGGCGAGAGTGGCTGCAGCTGGAGTGAGCGAGCGCTACGAGCCACCGGAAACGGAGCTGCGGCCGCGCCCCGCCCCCAGCTCCCCGCACGTTGCCCCTCCCGTTCGTGTGTCCCGCGGGTGGCCCTGCGCGCTGGCTGAACGCGTCACTTCCGGTTGTGTCGGCGCGCGAAAAAAGGCCTTGAAAGGTTTGGAACGTCGGTCTTCAGTGGGGATGTCTGCTGTCCTTCTCTCTTTCTGCTAGGAAATCTCTGCACCGACTATACCACTGCTGATGTTGTAAAAGAGGTCCTTCTGCTTTGACGCAACTGTCGTTCCTCTGGTTCTGGGGACGCTTAGGTCCCGCGGGCCGGTTTTCATAGTTCCCTGTGGCTCCGAGCCGAGGGAGCCGCGGTGTGGAATGGAAGGAACCGGTGATCTCAGTGCTGAAGAAAACAGGGAGAGTGTGTTTTCGTACTTGATTTGTCTTGCCGCAGGGGCTTAAAATGAGATGTTGTCTGGGCGTGTGAAGCAGTTCTTGATGAAATGCGTCCTCTGTGAGTGTGATCTCACTGTTATACTGGGAAGATGCTATTCTGTTGTGCCCAGTTCTTCTTAAAAATACAGATGCTTCTTAGGTTGCAGCTGTATAAACCCATCCTAAATCGAAAATGCGTTTTAAGACCCTTATTAACGAAAAGGATAAATAAGCTTTTGGATTCAGCAGTATGAGTCAGCATTTTTTTGAGTGCTTATGTGTCATGTGAATATTTTACATGTATGAAACTCATTTGGTGTTCATAAGTGCATCACTACAGTTACTACAAATGAATCCCATTCTACACAGAAACCAAGGAGAAGTGAAGGAATGTGTCCAAAGTCTCCCAAGTCGGTGGTGGAATCAGAATTGAAGCCTCAGCTCTAGAGGCTGTGTTCCGAGCTCCCCGGTTGCAGCTCACAAAATACACTTTCGTTACGTTCATACGAAAACAAATGATTACAGCTAGTTTACAAATGCTTTACTTTACTGGAGGATTGAGATGTTTGGCCAATTTTCAAAAATAAATGTCAGAAGCAGCATTTTCTTGTGTTGATAATTTTATTACTAATTTGTGGCACTGCATTCTATTGGAGTTAAGCCGTATATCATTCCATTTTTAATAAGTACATAATAATGTTTATGGAAGCCAAGCTATGAGACAGAATAGTATTGTGGTATGGTCTCAGGCAGTCAAACCTGAATGTGAATTTTGGCTCCATTTCTTAGTATTGAATATGGCATTTCACCTCTTATAGCTTCATTTACTTTAGAAAATCAGGAGTAGTAAGATCTACCTTCCAAAATCTTGTTGACAACATACTTTACATAGAACCTGACATGTATTAAGCATTAAGAATGGAAACTATTAAACTCTAAAGCCAGAGAAGCAATACAACTACTGAAAGAGCAGTTATATTAAAATAATAATTACATGTGAAAATTGTTGACATTAACATTGGTAAGAAGGTGGTTCCTAATTAGCCACATTTTTCATAAAACATTACGATATAGGATCCTTTCTGTTAAGGCACAAAATAGTGATATATAAATTATGGTTGGGCTGTGCATTCTCTTCTGCAAAATTTTAGATCAGCCTTCATGCGGCTGTTAATTCCCTAAAAAAAGTCAAGTGCATCTTCATAACTAAATTCTCCCTTTCTGGTTGAGTTTCTTTTATAACTACTTTTCCAAGTCAGCTGGTATTTATTTGGGGATGACAAGTGTATTTTAGTATTAGCTTAATACATAACCTAAAAAATATGTTAATCATAGTAACGTCTCTGTGCCTTTAACCTGAATAGTCAATGTGAAGACTATCCATAATACAACTTGATTCCTAGAGCAATTTTTTGCAGTTATACTTCTACGTTATCTGTACCTCACTACTTAGTGTGTACTTAGGGAATGCATGAGGTTTTAAATGTTTTGTGGAAAAAATCATGAGAAGTATTTCTATCCTAAACAATGATTGTGAAAGTATTTACAGCATAGCTTGATATTTACTGCATTTGCTAGTTATAATTGACTTTGCTGGACTCCAGAGGTCTTTTAACACTTTCATGAACTTCATCACTGATTGAATGCTGATGAAATTGCCTTTTTAATTGGCAGGTTGATATATTAATATGAAATATTTCAAATACTGAGACGCAGGTTCTGTTGTTTCATGATTATCATGCTAATTTATAAAAAAAAGATGTTTATAAGCTTTTGTTTAAAGTAAAAGAAAAATACAATTACCAAGTAATTTACTTTCTACACAGTCTCTGAGTCCTGTTATTAATAGCTGATGAGTATATACTGTAGGGCCTTCCATCTGATGGGGATTGCTATGCTAACAGAGGAATGAACAAACTGTTCCAGTTAAGCCTACACATCAGGCTTTACCAAATGGTCTCCTGACTCAGATTCTTACTATAGGCTTTCCTCTGGGCCTTACGACACTCTATCTTACAATCCTTTCCCCACCCTGCATTTTTCTATGTGTGTCATCTCTACAATCCTTTTAATACCTCAGCCTGGTGACCACCTCTATATATCCACTTCACTTTTTTCTTCTTTTATGGTCAATCTTTGTTGAGGCCTATTGATGGAATATTAGCAAAAAAAAAAAAGTGGTTCCTTACCAAGTTACGGGAATGGAGAGCTAAGGCTTCCAATACTCCTGGCCAATAAGACTAAAAATTTTTGTTCTTTTTTTGTAATTTTGGTGTGTAAAACAAAATAAAACAGTTCAGATACTTCACTAAAATGGGAGAATATCTGGACCCAGACTCAAAGGCCTATTCCTTTATCTAGCATGGAAGAGAGAGGGACAATATATTAGTTAACTAAGCAGTAATTGCCATGTTTTGTAAGTTCTGAGAAAGATACCATTTGGGTGCTCTGAAAGTGAACTTTTACATAGAGACTTCAGAGTAGGCCTTTCTAGGGAGATACTTAAGCAGAAAAGTGAAAATAAACAAGCATAGGAAGGGGGTGCAACATGGCAAGGCATTTGTCCAGCTAGTGCCTGAAAGCATATTTAGAGAAAGCAACTGGCTTGTAAAATGTTTATAAAATGGTAAAAGCACAGCACTGCCAGGTGGTAGGCTATTCCTTGCAAAAGTTAGCTGAATTTCTCAAAAAACTTTATTGTGGTAAGAACACAATGTGACATCTGCCCTCTTAATAAAATTTTTTTTTTCCTTTTTTTTTTTTTAAAAAGACTTAATTTCTTTTTTCCTACGCGGGGGTGCAATGGCGCGATCTCGGCTCACCGCAACCTCCGTCTCCTGGGTTCAGGCAATTCTCCTGCCTCAGCCTCCTGAGTAGCTGGGATTACAGGCACGCGCCACCATGCCCAGCTAATTTTTTGTATTTTTAGTAGAGACGGGGTTTCACCATGTTGACCAGGCTGGTCTCGATCTCTTGACCTCATGATCCACCCGCCTCGGCCTCCCAAAGTGCTGGGATTACAGGCTTGAGCCACTGCGCCCGGCCCCTCTTAATAAAATTTTAAGGGTACAAAACATTATCATTAACTATGGGTACAGTGTTGTGCAGCAGATGTCTAGACCTAATTAATCTTGCTTGAAACTTTATGCCCACTGATTACTAACTCCCCATCCCCTCTCCCACCCCAGGTAAACCACCATTCCACTATTTGATTCTATGAATTTGACTATTTTAGATACTTAATATAAGTTAAATCATGTAGTATTTGTATTTCTGTGAAGTCCTCAAGGTTCATCCATTTTGTTGCATATTGCAGAATTTTCTTCTTTTTTAAGACTGAGTAGTATTCCTATTTCTCCAAGACTAGAGCTCAGCGCATGTCCAGACATAGCTGAAATGGGCCATCTTCCCCCTTTGCCATGAACCCTGATTTGACAGTATATGGCACAGAACCTTAACTTAGCAGACATTTAAATGTTTGTTGATATTAAAGATAATTGTCTTAAGCCAGAAGACCTGGAAGGTAGCCATTTCTATTCTTTGGCAAGAACAGCTGACTACCAGAGATCACACAGTATTTTTCCAGATAGTGTTGCTACTTGGAAAATTCTGGAATAAAACAAATTTTTCAAGTGGAAAGAGGTTATTTTAACACATCACACGTTTGGTGTTACTCTAAACCTTACTGCGCAAGTCTTGTGCATCTAGGTGCAATATTTTAAGAATAGAAGCATGTCATTTTAGCCAGCAGATGTCCCTATTGTTCAGCAGGATTTTTTGTTCTTTCCCAAGTAGTAACTTCAACAGTAGATAGAAACTTTGGGGCCTTAATTGCTAATGATATGCTGTGGCAGACCGAGGGCAAGCCTGAACAGTAATAAAGCTAAAGGGAT